TTTTTTTGAGACGGAGTTTCACTCATGTTACCCAGGCTGGAGTGCAATGGCGCGATCTCGGCTCACCGCAACCTCCGCCTCCTGGGTTCAGGCAATTCTCCTGCCTCAGCCTCCTGAGTAGCCGGGATTACAGGCACGCACCACCATGCCCAGCTAATTTTTTGTATTTTTAGTAGAGACGGGGTTTCACCATGTTGACCAGGATGGTCTCGATCTCTTGACCTCGTGATCCACCGGCCTCCCAAAGTGCTGGGATTACAGGCTTGAGCCACCGCGCCCGGCCAACAATTACTAACTTTATGAATTTGAAAATTAATTTTAAAATCGAGTAGAAACTGAACTTTATTTTCCATTAAACATTTATGGTTTTTGAAGCGTTTGCTTCAGGTTTTTTTTTTTTTTTTTTGAGCAACATTCAGTTAGCACCTTTGCCTTTTACGTTTTTTGTGTGTGTGTGTGTGATGGGGAGGTTTCTCCTTTCTCTGTAAAGGAGATATTTATCTATAAATAAACAGGTGAAATACATAAGATATAGCCTATTTAAAAGAATTCTATGGTTAATCCTTTTTAAATAAGAATTATCCTGGGATTTATCTATTTTGGACATTTGGAGGTTTGTAGGCCAAGAGCAGATTAAGTTAAACATTGTGTTACAGTAACTGATACAGAATTTTGTAGGTAAAGCTTCCAGTTGTAACTAGGTGATATGCTTTGGGCTGGGCGCAATGGCTCACACCTGTAATCCCAGCACTTTTGGAGGCTGAGATGGACGGCTAACTTGAGGTCAGGAGTTCAAGACCAGCCTGGCCAAAATGGTGAAACCCTGTCTTTACTAAAAATACAAAAATCAGCTAGGTGTGGTGGCAGGCGCCTGTAATCCCAGCTACTTGGGAGGCTGAGGCAGGAGGATCACTTCAACTTGGGAGGTGGAGGTTTCAGTGAGCCGAGGTCACACCAGTTTGGGCAACAGAGTGAGATTCTGTCTCACAAAAAAAAGATGATATGGTTTGGTTGTGTCTCCACCCAAATCTACACAGGTAATTTTGGGAACTACAATTCAAAATAATCCCCATGTGTCATGGGAGGGACCCAGTGGGAGGTAATTGAATTACGGGGGTGGTTACCCCCGTGCTGCTGTTGTCGTGGTAGAGAATGAGTTTTCACAAGATCTGTTGGTTTTAGAAGGGGTTTTCCCCTTTTATTGGGCACTTCTCCTTGCTGCCACCATGTGAAGAAGGATGTGTTTGCTTCCCCTTCTGCCATGATTGTAACTTTGCTGAGGCTTCCTCAACCATGCTGAACTGTGAGTCAGTTAAGCTGCTTTCCTTTATAAATCACCCAGTCCCGGGTATGTCTTTATTAGCAGCCTAAGAACAGACTAATTTACTAAGAGTTTAACTAATTTGAGGAGATAGGTGTAAAAGGGGCTTATGTCCATTGCATCCCATGTGAAAGGACTATATGGGAATTCTGAAGGCAGAAATTCAACACCCCTAAACGTCAGGCACCTATTTCTTTTTCTGTTATGTGTTTATTTTTTTTTTAAAGACCCTCAAACTAAAATTTAATGGTATTTATCTCAAAGAAGTATGAGCATGTAAGTTACATTTCTCCTTTCCACATGTGTTGCCGTGTTCACTGTTTTGCCAGCTGCTGTGGGGGTGACACAGGTGAATGACTCAGGTCACTGAGCATGTGTCTTTCCTCCTCCTCTTCCCCTACAGACAGCCACCGCACTGTGTACCCGACACGTACAGCAATGCCACGCTCTGGTACAAGATCTTCACAACTGCCAGAGATGCCAACACAAAATACGCTCAAGATTACAATCCTTTCTGGTGTTATAAGGGGGCCATTGGAAAAGTCTATCATGCTTTAAATCCCAAGCTTACAGTGATTGTTCCAGATGTAAGTGACAAAAACCGTGTGTCTGTGTGTGTGTATGTGTTTGTGTGTGTGCGTGTGTGCGTCTGTGTGTGTGTGTGTGTGTGTACGTGCGCATATGGGCACATGTGTGTGCATGTGCTGCAACTGTTGGTGTAGGTCCTGCTGACTTCCCTGGGTAAGCATATCCTCTGCCACTCTAGATTTCCAGCTGCCTTGGGACACTTGTCGGAGAGGTGCATGCTTGGAAAAACATGCCACCAATTGGTTAAGGAAAATCTGGTTCTTCTCTTCGTTTTCTCTGTTGTTTGGCAGCAGTTATTTCTTGAGGAACTGCCTAACCCCTGGGAGTTGCAAGGGATGCTTGTATTAATACTATCTTAGAGGGATGTTCACAGATATACATAGAAGACTATCTAGTTAGTCTCAGTGTGAACAAGAAATAGTGCTGTTTGGAGCTCTGAAAGGTAGAAGTGAGTAGAAGGAAATGAATCTTCAGCTAGAGAGTGAGGCCTGAATAGGATTTAACTGAACCGAGAGGCAAGGAGAAGAAAACACCTATTTTGTCTAGCAGCTATGCACTAGCTCAGCTTCCTACTTAGACTTGAGCCTACTTTTTTTCTTAGAGACAGGATCTTGCTCTGTCGCCCAGATTGGGGTCTAGTGGCGCATTCATAGCTCACTGCAGCTTCAGATTCTGGGCTCAGGCTTCCGGAGTAGCTAGGACTACAGGTGCATGTCACCATGCCGGGATAATTTTTAAATTTTTTGTAGAGATGGGGTCTTGCCATATTGCCCAGGCTGGTCTTGCACCCCTGGCCTCAAGCGATCCTCCTGCCTTGGCCTACCAAGTGGCTGGGTTGACACGTGTGAGCCACTGCACCTGGCCCAAGCCCACTCTTTTATTTTTTTTGAAATGGGGTCTTGTGCTGTTGCCCAGGCTGGAGTGCAGTGAAACAATCTTGGTTCACTGCCACCTCCACTTCCTGGGTTGAAGTGATTCTCCTGCCTCAGCCTCCCAAGTAACTGGGATTACAGGCACCTGCCACCACACCAAGCTAATTTTTGTATTTTGAGTAGAGGTAAGGTTTCACCATGTTGGCCAGGCTGGTCTTGAACTCCTGACCTCAGGTGATTCTCCCACAGCCTCCCAAAGTGCTGAGATTACAGGCATGAGCCACTGCGCCTGGCTTTTGCCCTTTTCTGAGGCTCATATGTAGGCCAGGGTCCTGCAGGAGCCAGCCCTGGAGGTCAGGCTGGATGGTGGGCTGAGGTCCTTCGTGCCCGGCCAAGGACAATCCCTGCCTGTGTTTGGGCCATGGGGATTGGTAAAGCAATGTGCCGAGAAGACTGGGCTGCCCCACTATGTGGTAAATGAGCAGGGGCGGAGCCCAGGCTGACCTGAGACCTGGAGATATGAGAGGGAAAAGGAATGGAAGTGTGTCTGGGGTTTCTCTAGTAACTGGCAGGGCCTGGGGATTGACTGCATGTGGGAGGTCAAAGGGCAGTGAATCAAAGATGATGTCAGCATTTTCATCCAGGGACTTAGAGAAGTAGGGAAATGCAGGAGCAAGGAGGTAACCCTGAGGAGAGGTGAGGTGCTAAGGCCTTCCTGGTGGGGGCATAGCCAGGACTTAGGAATGCAACCTCGGTTGTCAGCCTTGCAACCGGAGGGCAATTCCATGATGAGGATGTGTCCAGAAAGGGCTTAAAGACGGAGTCTCTGCAGCCTTTGCAGGGGAGGAGGCCTGCTGGAAGGGCAGGGTTCAGGCAGTGTGGGGGTGCAGAACGCAGGGCAGACTACAGCGCTAGGAAGGAATGGTTGCTCTCTACCAGGGATTGCTTGGAAACACCGTGTCTTCACTTAATGAGATCCAGCTTTGGTAATTTAGGAGCCAGAAGGAGAAACCTCCTCTCCCAGCTTGAGAATAAAAGTTGTGGCAAGTCTGGAGTTTGTAAAGCCTGTCTCTCAAAACCCAGCATTAAAACCTTTCAGTCACTCAGAGCACGTTTGTTTTTTTTTTTCTCTTCTTTCTTTAGGATGACCGTTCATTAATAAATTTGCATCTCATGCACACCAGTTACTTCCTCTTTGTGATGGTGATTACGATGTTTTGCTATGCTGTTATCAAGGGCAGACCTAGCAAATTGCGTCAGAGCAATCCTGAATTTTGTCCTGAGAAGGTGAGCAGTGGATGGGGTCCAGGCTAACATTTTGCTAGAGGCCTCTGTATATAGAAAGTCACAGTTATCCTTACTCCATTTATTGTGGGTGGCACGTTTCATCCAAAGAAATGACAGTCATCCCTCAGTATCCTAGGGGGATTGGTTCCAGGACCCTGGTGGACACCGAAATTCATGAATGTCCAGATCCCTTCTGAGGGTGCATTATTTGCATATGACCTCTGCACATCCTCTGTAGCTTTAAATCATCTCTAGATTACTTTTTTTTTTTTTCTGAGACGGAGTTTTGCTGTGTTACCTAGGCTGGAGTGCAGTCGTGTGATCTCCACTCACTGCAACCTCCGCCTCCCAAGCTCAAGTGATTCTCCTGCCTCAGTCTCCCGAGTAGCTGGGATTACAGGCATGTGCCACCATGCTCAGCTAATTTTTGTATTTTTAATGGAGACAGGGTTTCACTATGTTGGCCAGTCTAGTCTTGAACTCCTGACGTCAAGTGATCTACCTGCCTCAGCCTCCCAAAGTGTTGGGATCACAGGTGTGAGCCACTGTGCCCAGCTTCTAGGTTACTTAACAATACCTACTACAGTGTAAATGCTATGTAAATCGTTGTTACAGTGTATTTTTAAAACTTGTATTATTTTTATTGTTGTATTCTTATGTTTTGGTTTTTTTCTTTTGAGTAGTTCTGCTTTTTTTAGGTTTTTTTTTGAGACGGAGCTTCACTTTTGTTGCCCAGGCTGGAGTGCAATGGCACGATCTCGGCTTACCACAATCTCTGCCTCCTGGGTTCAAGTAATTCTGCCTCAGCCTGCCGAGGAGCTGGGATTACAGGCATGTGCCACCATGCCCAGCTAATTTTGTATTTTTAGTAGAGACAGGGTTTCTCGATGTTGGTCGAGCTGGTCTCAAACTCCCAACCTCAGGTGATCTGCCCACCTCAGCCTCCCAAAGTGCTGGGATTACAGGTTACAGGTGTGAGCCACCGCGCCTGGCTTTATTTTATTTATTTATTTATTTATTTATTTTTGAGACAGGGTTGAGCTCTGTCACCCAGGCTGGAATGGAGTGGTGCGATCGTGGCTCACAATGCAATCATAGCTCACTGCAGCCTTGACCTCCCAGGCTCAGGCAGTCCTCAGCTTCCCAAGTAGCTGGGACTGTAGGCACGCATTAGCACAACTGGTTAATTTTTGTAGTTTTTGAAAGAACCACTGCCAAGTCACTCCCTTTAATAGCGATGACGGCTTGGGTATGATTAAAAATCCAACACCATAATATAGGCTGAAGGTAAAAACACTTCTAATGAAGACAGAAACCACAGCTGGCCTTCTATAATTGTGGGTTCCACATCCACAGATTGAACCAAAAATACACACAAGAGGGCTGGGCATAGTGGCTCATGCCTGTAATCTCAGTACTTTGGGAGGCCAAAGTAGGTGGATCACTTGAGCCCAGGAATTCAAGACCGGCTTGGGCAACATAGTGAGACCCCATCTCTACTAAAAGTTAAAAAATTAGCCAGGTGTGGTGGTGCGTGCCTGTATTCCCAGCTACTGGGGAGGCTGAGGTGGGAGGATTGCTTGAGCCCAGGAGTTGGAAACTATAGTAACCTGTGAACTGTGCCACTGCGCTCCAGCCTGGACGACAGAGTACGACCCTGTCTCAAAAAGAAAAAACAAAAAACAAACAAAAAAACCAGTTCATTCTGTCTCTGCACAGTGGTTCCAGATGGGCTGCATCTTGCAGGAGACTGGGATTTCTAGTCACTTCTTCCTAGGTGAGATTTTCTTCTTAGGGGTTTAATAACTTCCCTGCCTGGTCGATATGTGCCATTAGTGTCGCGCCCTGGTCTTTGGGTAGGCACTGGAACCCTGGGCTGAGTTACCTGGGCTTCCCTCTTTGACTGGTTTCCCTGGCTTGTTCTCTTCCAGGTGGCTTTGGCTGAAGCCTAATCCCACAGCTCCTGTTTTCTGAGAGAGACTGAGAGAACCATAATCCTTCCCTGCTGAACCCAGCCTGGGCCTGGACGCTCTGTGAATACATTATCTTGCGATGTTGGGTTATTCCAGCCAAAGACATTTCAAGTGCCTGTAACTGATTTGTACATATTTATAAAAATCTATTCAGAAATTGGTCCAATGATGCACGTGCTTTGCACTGGGCGCAGCCAGAGCCCTTCATCCCTGCCCTGGACTTGTGACCTGGTGATTGTGTCCACGCATCTCTAGAGAAGGATTCCTGGGTCTAGCTGTGTGGCAGCTGGTCATGACGTTTTCACCAAGGTCACAGGCGCGTTGTGTCGCTGGTGGGGTTGAAGTTTGGTTTGGTTCGGTTCTTGTTTCAGCCGGATATGTAGAGAACGTTTGAAACAGTCTGCACCTTTGATATGATACTGCATTTCCAAAGCCACCAATCCATTTTGTGGATTTTATGTGTCTGTGGCTTAATAATCATAGTAACAACAATAATATCTTTTTCTCCATTTTGCTTGCAAGGAAACATACCTGTTTTTGTTTTTGTTTTTTTCAAATTAAAAATAAAATAGTCACATTTTAATATCACGCTAGTTAGGACAGACTTGTGCTTTTATCCTGAGTAGAAAGTTAAATATTTAAGTCACCTACATGGCAAAGATCTAAGATTCATTTTCCACAAGGATGACAAGGAACCTGGTCTTGTTGGATTTGGCACAGAAGGTTCTACTGTCTTTTCATCCACTCTTGCCCCTTCCTTCTGTTACCAGAGTTAATGCAGCCTCTTCACTCACAAGGGCTTCAAAATGTAAGTGGCTTTCGAGTTAGAGTGACCATTCACTGTTCTGCTTTCTGCAATGCAGGTGACAGTATGGAAAGAAAGAATGATGATTTGGTCTAATAGTAAAGGGTTTCTTTTTTTCTTTTTCTTTTTTTTTTTAAAGAGTGGGTGGATTTCCTCCTTTTTGTTTTGCTTTTATTTTTATGCAACTAACATCTTAAGAAGGAAAGCAGCTAATAGATTAGTAACATGAAAACGATGCCTATGAAATTTGAAGGAATGTAGTTCTGATTTGCCATTTATCAGAGAAGACCAAAAGCATTTTTCTTATAAATTTTTTTCTTGTTTTTGTTTTGTTTTGTTTTTTGAGACTGGGTCTTGCTCTGTCTGCCGGGCTGGGGTGCAGTGGTGCAGTCACAGCTCACTGCAGCCTTCAACTCCAGGGCTCAAGCCGTCCTCCCACTTTAGCCTCCTGAATAGCTGGGACTACAGGTGTGTGCCATCATGCCTGGCTAATATTTAAATTTTTTGTAGAGACAGGGTCTCACTGTTGCCCAGGCTCACCTGGAACTTCTGGCTTCAAATGGTCCTCTCACCTCGACCTCCCAAAATCCTGGGATTCCAGGCATCAGCCACTGAGCTCAGCCCTCTTAAATCATTTTGCTTCATTGTCTAGTTCCTCTTGTCTCTTTTTCCTTCTAAATCCTTATTCATTTAAGCAGAATGTGCATTATCTTTTCCAGTCCTTTCTTATTAGTTGTATTCTTACTGTTTTTCTTATTAACTTTTTGCCTTAATAGCTCATTGTCATTAATGACTTCTTTGTTCTCCCAGGCAGTGTTAGAACAGAAGGGCAATTAAAACCTTGGACATGACCATCAGTACTTGCTTTCCTTAACTGTAGGCTTGTAGTCTGTTCTAAATCAGGATTAGTTCCTGCAGTCTGAAATACATTGGCCTAGAACCTTTCATCCCAGGCATTTTTGAATGGAAAACAGTTGCGGGCTTTTATTGAAGATTGTTAATCACTGTAGTAACTTGATATGTTAGTATTCCTTTTTTTCCTTTTAGGATTTTTCAAGCACAGTAATTGTACTGTCTATCCAGTTTCTTTGTATGATACAAGTTGCTTACACGATGCATGGCTAGCTTGTTAATTTAGTTTTCTCCTTAGAGACTTTGAGACCCTTAGGAGACAAGATTAAGAAAGAGCCACGTGGCTTGGCTCTAGAAACGGCATTATCATTAGGACTGTCAGATCCTAGATTAAGCTGCTGCTGAATTAGTAAAATCCCAGTGAAGCAGAGTTACAGGGATAGATTTATAGCTGGCAGAGCAGTAACAAAGGAGACAGTGAAAAAGCCAATTTCACTGGTTCGCTCAATCCAGCTTGTTGCTAATGTTAATTACCCTTGTTTTAATGACAGGGAGTGGCTGGAATCTGTAGCCAGGGGAGGAGCGACGCTGTTAAGTGTGAGGAAAGGAAGTGCCAAAAATGCCTGGACAGATGGCTTATCCCAAGGCCAGGACACACACTTTAAAATCCAACATTCACCTCAGCAAGTGCTTCTCAAAGATCTTACAGAAACGCAGAGTCAATCAGGTTTGTAAAGGAAGGCTGTGGGGAGAGAAGAGGCCTGGGGGCCTGGGTGAAGAGGCCTAGGACCTGAAGAGACTCCCACCGAGTCTCAGGAAGCTCAGGGGACCTGTCACCATCTGGGCACTTCCCAGGCTCAGCACTCAGCCGGAGTTTGCTGGTGGACCTCAGGATTCCAAGGGTGCGACAGATGGGGTGCGCTTGCCTGCCGTTCAGGGCAGCCTCGTGCAGGAGCAGCGGCTCACCCTCAGGCATCTCGGATTGGAGGGCCAGCAAAAGGTCAGCAACTTACTCCTAAAATGATTGTTTCAGATCATATTGATCTCTTTCCTTTTTCCTTTTGTCCTTTCACTGTATGACTTGAATCAGTTTTGATTCTCTTTGTAAGTGTTTCTTGTTGTCGGGCACCTGCCACGTCTATTGCGTTTTCCTCGGCAGCGTGTAGGGCTTCAGCTTCCTGGGTTTTCACCCTCCTGCAGGCACTGTGGGGTCCTGAGGGCCAGCGGGTCCATTTCACCTCTTGCTGCATGATGGTCAGTAGCTGATCTGTTAGGCATTCGCTTCCAGGTTAAGTTTCCGTGTTTGAAGTATGTGCATATGTGCTTTACAGAATAAAAACATCTGAATTTATTTGCTGTGTGTCCTCTTCCTCCAGCCAGATGGGGGTTTTCTTTTTTATTTTTTGAGACAGAGTCTCGCTCTGTCGCCAGGCTGGAGTGCAGTGGCGCGATCCCGGCTCACTGCAACTTCCATTTTCCATTTTCAGGCAATTCTCCTGCGTCAGCCTCCAGAGTAGCTGGGACTACAGGCACGCACCACCACACCCAGCTAAGTTTTTGTACCTTTAGTAGAGACGGGGTTTCACCATTTTGGCCAGGATGGTCTCGACCTCTTGACCTCGTGATCCACCTGCCTCGGCCTCCCAAAATGCTGGTATCATAGGCATGAGCCACCGCACCCAGCCCAGATGGAAGTTTTCTAAGGGAGTAACATGCAGTCAGCAGCTGAGGGTTTTTTGCAAGCTGCTCCTTTGAAATGTCACTTGTCATCTGGAGGAGGGGTGGGCATGTTTCCAGTGAAGGCGGCCTCACCAAGCACATTCATCTTCCCCCGAGGGAAGAGAACCCTCTGTAGCTTGCTAGACCAACAAGAACTGCTTGCAGGCCTGACCCTAACCCTACCCAAGGAAGTAAGTAAGAAATACCAGCAGGGAGCATTGAATAGATGTGGGAGTTCCAAGATACACTTCTCAGTGACGTAAGCCTGCGTGCCCAGCCTCAGGCTTCCAGCTTGCTCTGTGGGCTCCTGTTGCAGAGCTCCAACCCACCCTAGACGTCTTTTGCCAAGACAGAGTATCTTCTGCAGTTTCCATAGCTAAAGGGAGATGGCGTTCACTAACGCGAATCCTTCCCTTGTTCGGCAGCCTGCATGTCCCTTCCCTTCCCTCCCCAGCAGGCGCCGGGGTTGCAAGGTCAGTCTCCTGGCTGTGGAAGGTGCTACTCAATAAGCTCTTTGTTCTTGCTGCTTCCACCTTTCCCTGCCTTCTGCTGGAACAGGCGAATTCTGCTTGGAGCCCGGTGTTATTCCCTGCTCTCTTGGACTCATGTTTGTGTGCGGTGATTTACCTCCATCCCAGTACAGAATACGCGTGGGAGGAGAAGAGCTCATGTCTCCCTGCTGTCTTAGCCTGGTAAAAACCTGACACGTGTCAGGTTCTCAAGTCAGGTCAGTTTTTGCTTTGAAACCATTTCATTTTCCCAGTGGGCCCCCTGTGTTTCCATTTCCCTCATACTCATGGATGTGCAAGGATTTCCCCAAAAAGTAGAAAGAATGCACAGACCACAGCACTCCGGAGTCTAGTCAAGGAGTTTAGTTGCTGTTTCAAAGAAACATATCTCTGCCCAGAATTTGAGACCAGCCTGGCCAACATAGTGAAGCCCCATCTCCACTGAAAATACAAAAATTAGCTGGGTGTGGTTGCAGGCACCTATAGTCCCAGCTACTCAGGAGGTTGAGGCAGGAGAATCATTTGAACTTGGGAGGCAGACGTTGCAGTGAGCTGAGATTGCGCCACTGCACTCAGCCTGAGGGACAGAGCAAGACTTCATCTGCAAAATAAAAATTAAAAAATAAGCGTATCCCTGCCCATTTGAGAGTCCATATTCTTTCCAGCTATGAAGACCGTACATACACGATAGTTGATGATGGGGGAACTAGGGTGGTTTGAAAAATTGCGGGAAGAGGCTGGCGTGGTGCTCACAGCTGGAATCCCAGCACTTGGAGAGGCCAAGGTGGGAAGATCGCTTGAGCTAAGTGGTTTGAGACCACCCTGGGCAGCCCCGGCTCTACAAAAATACAAAAATTAGCCAGGCATGGTAGTGGCACGTGACTAGTCCCAGCTACTTGGGAGGCTGAAGTGGGAGGACCACTTGAACCTGGGAAGTCAAGGCTGCAGTGAGTTATGATCACACCCCTGCACTCCAGCATGGGCAACAGAGTGCCACCCTGTCTCAAAAAAAGAAAAGAAAAGAAAAGAAAAGCATTGCTAGAAGAACTGGGAGTGTTTTTTGGTAGAGATGCAGTTTCAAAGGCTGTTCTCAAACTCCTGGCCTCACACAATCCTCTCACCTTAGCCTCCCAAAGTGCCGGAATTACAGGAAGTGGTAAGTGGAGGTGTCAGAATACAGCTGGTGTGTCACCCTTGGTTACCCTTTGGGAGAGGAGAGCTCACCACGCAAAGATAGCATCTTCCCGAAGCCCTCGTCCTTCATCACCACGATGCTAACTGCTGTGGCTTCTTAACACTCGCTGGGATATGAGAAGCAGTCTCTGGAAGGATGCATGTGTAACAGGAATAAGCTTCCTGACATGATGATCACACTCACTGCACAGGACACACACGAATGTTTCCATTTAGTCTCTATTCTTATAGCTAAAACACCAGAGGTGACCACTGCATTGATTGTGTGGCCCACAAATGGAAGGCAGCCTATAGTTTAAAGAACACTGATCGAGAAAAAATCTTTTACAATTGGGAGCATTCTGACTCTGAATGCCAACATTCTAGCTATCAAGAATTTGGGGTTTTAATTTTATTTTTTCGAGACGGAGTCTCACTGTCGCCCAGGCTGGAGTGCAGTGGTGCAATCTTGGCTCACTGCAACCTCTGCCTCCCTGGTTCAAGCGATTATGCTTCACCCTCTTGAGTAGCTGGGATTACAGGTGTGCACCATCACGCTGGCTAATTTATGTATTTTTAGTAGAGACGGGGTTTCTCCGTTGTTGGCCAGACTGGTCTTGAACTCCTGACCTCAGTGACCCTCCTGCCTCAGCCTCCCAAAGTGCTGGGATTACAGACGTGCGCTGCCACACTTGGCCAAGAATTTTATCTTTTTAGGAGGTTGCAGTCTCTCCCGTTTTCAGAACCTTGGAGGCTGACAACTGGCAATCACGTTAAGCAGACCTTCGTTTTTAAGCAGAAGACGAAATTGTTCTCATTAACTTGAGAAACCGCCACGTGGTAGATGCTAGGGAAGAGGCTCCTATCTGAAACCTTGGTGCCTTTATTTTATTTTATTTTAAATTTTTGAGATGGAGTTTCACTCTTGTTACCCAGACTGGAGTATAATGGCGTGATCTCGGCTCACTGCAACCTCTGCCTCCTGGGTTCAAGTGATTCTCGTACGTCAGCCTCCCAAGTAGCTGGGATTACAGGGATATGCCACCACGCTGACCTAATTTTTTGTAATTTTTGTAGAGACGGAGTTTCTCGATGTTGGTCAGTCTGGTCTCGAACTCCTGGCCTCAGGTGATCTGACAGCTTCAGCCTCCCAAAGTGCTGGGATTACAGGCATGAGCCACTGTGCCTGGCCGGTGCCTTAATTCCAGGAGTCCTGCAGTGTTGCCCAGGCTGATCTCAAACTCCTGGTCTCAAGCAATCCCCTAGCCTCCGCCTCCTGAGTAGCTGGGACTACACATGTCAGCCAGCAGGTGCATTTCTGCATCCCAGAGCTCATCACTCCCAGACCCGTGTGTCTTCAGCCCACTCTCAGAACACACCTAGGATCTGGAGAACCCTTCTCCTGCACCTGGCCCTTTATCCTTCTGTCCTTGTCCTTCAGCTGGATGTCTGGTGTCTGCGTGGCAACATTCCGTGGCCGTGGCACCAGCTCACATCTCATCTGCAGAAGATGCATAATCCGCCTCCTGTGCCTCAAGCACCTGGGTCCTCACCAGGGGACTTCCCACCGTTTCCCACTCCAGCACACATGGTGGGCACTGCGGGGGTCTGCTCCCTGGAGCCCAACCCTCCCGTTCCTTCAGGTCTGGCCTCTTGCCTGGCCTTTGTCCCAGGGGCCACTGGTGCTGGCGTAGCGCAGACCACTGTGGGCACATCTCGGGCATCAGGGATCTGGCCTTCTGTTTCTTCTCACCATATCCACAACTGGGATCACCCAAGAGCAAGAGAGTTTCCAGAAGGGAGGACCCCAGACTGCCCTGAGAAGGGGCTGGTTGGGATTCTTTTTTTTTTTTTTTTTTTACTCCCTAATTTCCCCCCCGGATTTTTTTTTTTTTTTTTGAGACGAAGTCTCACTCCGTTACCCAGGCTGGAGTGCAGTGGTGCAATCTCGGCTGACTGCAGCCTCCGCCCCATCAGGTTCAAGTGATTCTCGTGCCTAAGCCTCCTGAGTAGTTGGGATTACAGGCACCTGCCACCACAGCCGGCTAACTTTTTGTATTTTTAGTAGAGACAGGGTTTCACCGTGTTGGCCAGGCTGGCCTCCAATTCCTGACCTCGTGATCCGCCCCCCTCAGCCTCCCAAAGTGCTGGGATTACAGGCATGAGCCACTGCGTCCAGCCCATATAGTGAGTCACCGCGGCAGTGGGGCTGGTTGGGATTGTAAAGAAAAGCAGTAGTCGGGCGTGGTGGCTCAGGCCTATAATCCCGGCCTATAATCCCAGCCTATAATCCTATAAAACCAAATACTGCATGTTCTCAATTATAAGTGGGAGCTAAATGATGAGAACACATGGACACATAGAGGGGAACGACACCCACTGGGGCCTATCAGAGAGTGGAGGGTGGAGGAGGGAGAGGATCAGGAGAAATAACTCATGGGTACTGGGCTTCATACCTGGGTGATGAAATAAACTACAGCAAACCCCCATGACACAGGTTACCTATGTAACAAACTTGCACATGTACCCTTGACCTTGAAAGTTAAAAAAATTGTTTTCAAAACACATCCCAGCCTGGGCAACATAGCAAGACCCCCATCTCCACAAAAAAATCAAAAAATTAGCCGGGTGCGGCGGCATACACCTGTAGTCCCAGCTACTTAGGAGGCTGAGGTGGGAGGATGGCTTGAGTCCCGCAGTTTGAGGCTGCAGTGAGTTATGACAGTGGTCCCAATCTTTTTGGCACCAGGGGCTGGTTTTGTGGAAGACAGGTTTTCCATGGACAGGGGGTAAAGGATGGTTTTGGGATGAAACTTCCACCTCAGATCATCGGGCATTGGATTCTCCTAAGGATTGCACAACCTAGAGCCCTCCAATGTACAGTTCACAATAGGTTTTGCACTTTTTTTTTTTTTTTTGAGACAGTCTTGCTCTGTTGCCAAACTGGAGT